TTCTACAGTATATAAAATATATATATATATATATATATATATATATATACAGTATATATACATACATATACATATACATATACATTTATACATATATTATTACATATACATATATATATTACATATACATATATATACCGTATATATAGGCCTATATTAATATATATATTATATTTTATATATTATATATTATATGTTATATATTATACTACAGAGGCTTTAGGGTTGAACAGATTCAAATATCCGTCAGGTACATTGTATTACACATTGGTGCCCCCTGAGAGGGCGTTAAACCAACAAGATAAATCTGGAAGTACGGCTGGAAATAAATAATAATATATAGGCCTAATATAAATCAAGATAATGTCCTTTATTTGAACACTGTATTTACCTTTCTTTGATGTTAAATATCGGAATAGTAAAAAAAAAAATAATCAGTTATTCGATATCCGATTTTTTTCGATTATTTTCGGTATGGTAGAACTTCTTTATAAAATTCTGATTGCGTTTGTTCTTATCCAGATCGCTTTCGTCGGCAAACCACAGAGAAGTCATAATTGATCGGAAGACACGGCGGAGCTCCAACATCTTACCGGAAAAGTCAGGCGAACCGGAAGTAGAAGACCCGATATCAAGGAGAATTCGAGTAAGTTCTCTATTATGAGAGAAATTGATATTGTAGATCAAGTATTAAAATGCACTTTTAAACGAGTGATTTTGAGAATTTATTTTAATTATACTACTGTTATACTAAAATAATATTTTCGTTTGTGTTTTTCAGTTACGAGAAACGCTTAAACGGGCTATACGGATCATCAAGATTGTTTCTTTGATAGCTTCATGTATGCTACGAAGCTCTAAAGACTCGACAACAGAAACATTTGTCGCCCAGCTTCACTACATAACCTCTAGGCCAGAAAATCTACCTTTCAATAAAAAACGATTCTTAAAAGATAACTCAGTAAGATTCCTTAAGTAAACCGTTTCGTTAAAACTGTTGTTTTTATGATTAGCAGTAATAGTACTTCTTATGTTATAATAATAATAATAATAATAATAATAATAATAATAATAATAATAATAATAATAATAATAATAATAATAATAATAATAATAATAATAATAAGACGATACTTTGAGAACGATCATTTCAGGCAATGCCTGATAACTTTATTAGGCCTAGCCATTGCTTGGCCTTACGCTACAAACATGTTTCGATAGATCCTACTGTCATCCTCAGTGTACAGAGATTCTATATAGGCAATCTTATAATAATAATAATAATAATAATAATAATAATTAAAAAAAAATAATAATAATAATAATAATTTTATCTAGATCAAAAAAATATAGGACTGTACAGTAAAATTTGGTTTTTAAAACTTAGTGTTAGTATTCCATTGCTTTTGCCTATTGAATCACTAAAAACAAACATTTATTTGTATAATAATTATAAGTAATGCTTGAAAATATTGAAATGTAACCAATGTGCGTTGACTGATGGAAACAGATAGGCTACGATGTTTCTGTTACAAATACGTATACATGTATTATGTTGACGCGTTTCATAATAAGAAGGCATTTTAATTAAATATAAGTATGTACGACCTTTACATAACCAATAAATTTAATTGCAAAAATACTTAAAATAAACATCATTAGTCTAACAGATAGAAATGATTCATCAAGTTCTATCATTATAGTTGCGAGTACCCAGCTGGCTACCTCAGATTGCTGACACTTTACCGAAGGACCGAACACCCGAAGCCATCTACAAACTCTATGGCGTTATGAACGATATGAAGAGTTTCGAACGCTTTACACCCAAAGTGCGTTTAGAACTCTGCCGAGTGGCCAGGTACATGAGGTATGACTCGTTATATAAAGTAGGTGTAATACCAGATTACGTGATAGTCACGTAATAGTACAGGACGAGTGCGTGTTTATATGTAAATGAGATTCACGCGTTGCGCCGCGCAAAGTTAGTCAAGTTATGGTGAGAACAGGATGATTATATTTTCAACAACCAATACCCGGTAAATAATTAATGTGGGCCGTCAAAGCTGAAGCAACGCCGATCGGTATATAATTATTTACAGCAACAATTTTAGTTTAACATAAATATAAAATAATTTTTTTTATTTATTGATAGAGGACTATATTTTTGTTTTCGGTATTCTGATGGGGTCATTAAATACACAGTTTCCTTTCAGTTGTGGAAAAGGTCGAGTGATAGTGCGGCAAGGTCACGTGGGGTTTGGATTTTACTTTATATACTCTGGCTCCGTTTTCGTCCAGTTAGATATTGCAGACCAGACTGGGGTCGTGACGTCACAGACAGTAAACATAATTGGAAAAGGAGCATGTTTTGGGGTCAGTAGACTTTTTAGGTTAAATTTCATAATTTTTTTCATTTGCAAACTCAATCAATAATGTTTAATGTTTATATTTGTTTTTATTTTAAATTGATCTTCATTTTCTTTTAAATTTATGCGAACACTAATGATATCAATTAATTGGAATGGGATAATGAAGAATGCAGAACCAACATCAACATAATATAATACAGCCAAGCAACATATTTATCTTTTTATTGTGTTCTGTTCAGATTTATTTTAAAAAAAAACCTCAATTTATATGATGTGTGGAACATGGTGCATATGTTATTAGTAATAGACCTAAACTCGAACTTCAATATAATGCTATATACAGGAATTGGCGCTCTTGGGCGACGGGCGTCGAACAGCATCTATTATATGTAGAGAAACGACGGAACTGTTTGAAATCGAAAAAGACACATTTCTCGAATCGTGTCCGTACATCTACGAAGACGAACTCAACGAAAAAATCGACATCGCTTCGTAAGTTAATATTTCAAAACTAGAAGGTAGAATTAATTTTAGTGCTTACTGAGTTAAAGTTTAAATGAACTAAAAAGTTTCAGCTGAATTAATTTTTTAGTATATTTGAAGCCTGACTACCAATGTCGGAGTTAAATCATGGAAAAAATATGAAATCATGGAATAGGCTCACTGAGAGCAAAAGAATATGCTCTCTTATAAATATTACTGCAGTAAGGTGGCGTTCAGTCTGTTTTCGCCATCTTTGTGTCAAATAATTATAGGTTATGCTTGTTACTAGTTTCTATACATGATTGACTATAATAATACCAGACTTTCTGTATTTTTTCTTAAGTTCTGTTAAATATATTTACAGAGTCGTCAATTTATTATTATATTACTGCTACTTTTTTTTGGTTATTGCTTTAGTTACTATTGTGTAAACAAATTTAAACAATTATATTTAAAAGGAATTTGCTGAGAGATACAATACCGGTATACGCCGTTGGCCGTCAACATATCAATAGCCAAAACAGCCCAAATACTCCGGCTACGTTTAATCATAGAGGTATTATAATATCTCTGGTTTAATGTTCACTTGTTTTTGAAATCCGAAATTAACCCCTTGGTATTAAAGTTTAAGGATAAATTTAATGGACAGAAACAGTTATTACTTACTTGATTCTGGCCTGATTCTTCGTGAGTCTTTTTAAGCTTTCGCTTCTTTGATCATTTTCACACCATCATTGGTTGCTGCAAAGGGCTTATTAAAAATTCAAAACTTCCAAGCAAAGATTTAATTTTCTAGAAACAATTATGCGAACCAATAAAATCACTGATCTTCAACAAGTTACTCCATGATTTCTTCAGACTAGCCAGAATGCTTGAATTCTCTGCCTCAAATGAGACCGAAAAAAAGTAAACCACCTCACACATACTCATTTGTTATTCTTAATTAAAAACTAAATTAATGGAACATTTTGTGTATTATTGCAACGTCTGTACGTGTTATTATCGAATAATCAAGGTTTCATCCGACTGTTATTTTTTCGTCACAACTATAAATAGAGTAGAATTGGATGATATGTATATTACATGCAGACGTCAAGGTCTGCAGTGATGATATTTAATTCACCTACTTCTAGTTGAGAATTAATACATTGCAGAAATCGTGTATGAGACTCGCCACTGAGGAAGAACAAGCGTTTTCCGAACGCTCTGGTTCTATTTCTGACTATTTACTTACGTTTACTTTTTAGCTGTTGCTTATAAAATGTGTGAGGGTTTGCGTCAAATACTAGTGTTGTATTGGCATACAGTAGAGTGCGAGATGAATTGCAGCCAATCGGATTGAAACTTTCAACGAAAGCGTCAATGATTATAATAACAATAAAGTAAATAATGATTATAATAACAATAAAGTAAATAACTGTCTCTTATACACATCTAGATGTGTATAAGAGACAGGTGTGTGGGTGGGTGGGTGTGTGTGTGTAATAATAATAATAATAATAATAATAGGTTTTATAAAGCGCACATACCCACTTCAGTAGTGCTCAAGGCGCTACAGGAGGTGTAGTGAGTGTGTGTAAGCTTTATTAGACAGAAACTCCTAATTTTTTTTATTTATATAAGAACATCTCAAAATTAAAAGTTTAAATTTTGAGAGGCTCAGACCTCTGATGATCAGATGTAAGGATCAACAATCAACAGTTCTCAATAACCAAAGAAATGTACATTTTGGAAAGACTTTGCTCTCCACAAATTGGCGCGAGTACACGAGTGTTTGCCTATTATTGTTTTTGTGTGACAGAGAGCAACTGGACGTGGTTATTCATCATTCCTCGGAGTACAGCACCGACATACGCGGCCTACTATTTTTTGAACGCAAATTGTTCCTCGGGTTTCGAGGATTTGGTTTTCGATACCATACAAAGAAATTGTATATAACTAAGATTTTATTTTTTTACCTTTCTTTTAATTTAGAAAATTTGAATTTTTTCGTAAGTGGCCAAAATCCAGTCTTCATCGACTTTGTTTTGAGTCTCAGATCCAGGAGGTTCCTTACGGACGAATAGTGGATAGAGACACAGTCGCCACAGACTATTTGTACTTTGTGCTTAAGGTAATGTATTCTATGTACTTTATAATACAAAAACAATAAAGTAAATAATGATTATAATAACAATAAAGTAAATAATGATTATAATAACATATTAAATAACAATAATATTATTTCATTTCATTTCATTTATTTATTCGACCAAAAAAAATACTGTACAAGAATTAGAACAAACAATAAAACAAAATGGTCAGGAAAAACTAAAGCGACAAAAGTCACCAAGGAGTCAGTAATTCCAACATGGAGTCAGTAATTCCAACATATACACATATACTTACTTGATCTACAATAACATTACAACCATAAATAATAACAACAATGACAATGATTAGATGTGAATATGTACACTAATGACAGCGTTATAAAAACTGCCCTGTAAATAGTTGTAAAATCGGAAGCGAAATTATAGACTGCGATGGAAAAGTTATTGTGAGACAAATTTATATTATATCCAGTAAGTATAATTGACACGTACTAACAGAGTTGGGTAGGACTTTATATACAACACGGAGATTATAATGTTAAAATAGATTCAATTTCTTTTATTTATCTGACTACGATATCGAATCACTTCTGAATGAAATTCCAGAAACACTAAGGCCCTTGCATTCAATAAGTAATTTTTTAAAAACTTTTTAAGCAACAACTATGGAATAAGTACTGATTGTCATTTATATAGTCTATACTATCTATTTGTCTTACGTTATGAAGTTCATTCCGCTATTTAGTTACCACTTATTGATTGATTGATTGATTGACTTTATTTCAAAATGAATCCATATGTAATATGTGAGTGTATTATTATTATCATTATTATTATTATTATTTTTATTTTTATTATTATTATTATTATTATTATTATTAGGGCTACATGATAAAGTTTATACTTTTTCCAATTCCTTATGATTTAATCATGTTATTTATTATAATTGTTATAGGCCTATTTGAATTATTTATGTTTTTTAATGTATATTGATTATGGAATTGGAAATTAAGTCGTATTGAATCGAATTGAACTGAATGCGATACAATCGGTAAATTCAAAATAGAAGAAATACTGGCTCCGGACAATCTTCGGTATACTGTTTTATGCTGACCACCACCTAGCTGCCTAACAATTATTTTGTAAGCACTTAAGTGGCGTCGTGTGGCACACTAGTAATATGTAAATTGGTATTCAAAATTACTGAGTTAAAACGGATCCTTTATTAAACTGCCATTAGGAGTATATCGTTTGAGATTTAACACGATAACGACATAATGTGAAATACAGTTAATACTTTTATTTAGGCCTATATTGTATGCATTTAGTAAGAGAGAGAGTATAGGCACTGATTATTATCGTAACATTGGTGTTAATATAAATACTATGTTATGCTTAAAATTAATTTTCAAAACAGGGCAAATTAGTGATGTTAAAGGAACTCGACTTGACAAGGTTTATAAAAAGCAATAATCAGCTGTCCTTAAAAATATACGCAGGGAAGCAACTGCCAACACCCCGACCACACACCTCCTCCATTGGCGGATCAAAAACATTCCCACATGCAACCAAACACAATAAATGCTACATCAAGATTGGAGATATACAGGACGGCCAGTCCACGGTACGTATTCAACTATAATATTATATATATATATATATAATATATATATAATATATATTATATATATATAGGTATATATACTTACATATGTAATTTATATGCACAGTATATATATATATATATATGTATATATATAAACTTATACATATATATGTATATACATATGTATATGTATATAGGCCTATATATA